AAGTCCAGTCCAGTCCCAAGATAGGACTGCCAGTCCCAGGACTGTCCTGAACTGTTTAGGACTGATTAACATCTCTAGTTTTTACTGTACAGAAAGTACCCAAAATTTTACACTATTTTGTATGGAATTTGTGGAAAATATACAGGAAATATAAACTCCATACATTTTCTATATTGATCGAACTCTGACACTCAATTTCAATTTCAAACCTTCATTACAAAGCTCAGTTCAATCAGATGTGATTCTTGACTCTACTATTAAAATAATAACAAATCAGCAACAATGGCAACTTCTACTGTAACAGTGGCTGCCACTATTGCTGACACTACAACTACTAAATCAAACATAACAAATGAGTCTTTAATTACTTCTGCTAATGGATTTTACAAAATTGTATCAGAAGAAAGACAATACAGGCTCTGTAGCATCATATATAAAAGAAAGTTTTCACACTCTGTTTCAACCCCATAAGTACATCAGCCCTCTTTTCATTCATTGCATTCTACCAGGTGTGGCAAATTCTAACTATGTAAAATGTTATATGAAAGATAACAACATTATCTTAAACAAATGTCATGGAACTTTTAGGACACAAAACTTGCTTCCTCTGGATCAGTAATTTTTCCGACATGAATTATATAATTATTACACTACTTATGTAAGCTTACATTGGGCCCCATAATATTATGCAATTATTACACTCAGTATAAATATTACAACATTATATTACAACTTATGAGTATAATATTATAGTGAGAAAAATTTCCTGATGAAGATAACTTGTACTAGTGAGGAGCCTTTAAAACTACTTTTGTGAAGTTATTACACTTAAAATGGAATTTGATTAGACTAATTTGTGGTCATATTGAACATAAATAGCCAGGTGACAAAAATCTATATTTCTTATTATTATTATAAAAACAATTTAAGAGCCTATTTTTTGAACTCAGCTTGAACTTGAAAATTTTAAAAATGCACCGACATTTTTCATTATATGATGTGAATGATAGTTCACTGTCAGTGTAGATAGGGTTAAGAGGGAATAAAAAATACATAGCTAAAGATCAGTTATAAATTATTGTTTATAGGTTGGATACACTCTCATGAAAAACCAATATGCATTTTTGGATCATTACTTATTTTTTTCAAAAAAAATAATAATAAATATTTAAATATGAGCAGGTTGAGTTAAAACTTGTGTTATCTGAATTTTTGTAGCTCAACAAACATAATTCAAAAAAACTAGGTTCCATCCAGTACACTACTTCACAGAACTTTGTATGAACATAAAATTTTCTCCAGAATTGCTGATTTAAAACCACTTTTGGTAGAAATGGTGCCTTCAAAGGAGAAACTGAAGCGTTGCTCTATTACTATTGGGAAAGTAATAGAAATGATGTCCTCACTGTGTTTAGTCATGACACAATATTGGAAACATTTCACCATTGGTCAAACATTGCTGTAATGGAGTAATAATTTGGGAGTGTTTTCCAAAAATGAGTCGAGAATTAAAGATAAGATGATTTATTTAGAATTATAAAAAATAATTTGTTGCCCTTAGAGACAAACTTAATGATGATGTCCAAAAATTAGATCCCTGGAGTGAATTCCGTATGAAAATTAAAAGAAAATTTTTTCGTTGAACCTTGGTTTAAAATTTTACACGCATGTCATAATGATGTAATGTATATTATTGATATATTTCTATTGGCCGAATTCAAATTTGGATTTCACAAATTTAAAAATGCCAAGGAGTAAATTTAGACCTTGTATAGATTTACATAATGGTCAAGTTAAACAAATTGTAGGAGGAACTTTGAATGATCAAGATCCTGAAAAATTATTAACTAACTTTGTTTCTAGGTTAAAACTAACAATTATTAGCAATTATTATTGTGATTATTATAATATAATATTGCTAAATTAAAAAAAATTTTACTTAGTGAAAATTCTGGTTATTATGCAAAACTTTATAAACAATATAATTTGACTGGCGGACATATAATAAAACTTGGAGCTGGTAATAATGAAGCAGCAAAAGAAGCGTTAGAAACTTGGCCAGGTAACTTGAAATTATTATTATTATTAACACCACCATTGATGTTATTATTTTTATATAATGATGGTAATTAAATAATTTTATTATAATGAGAAAGGAGGACTTCAAATTGGTGGAGGAATCACATTAGACAATGCTCAAGAATGGATTGATTATGGTGCTGATAAGGTTTAAATAAATATTTATTATTATCATTGCCATTATATTATAGTATAAGGAATTTTATTCATCGTCATCATTATTATTTCAAAAGATTATTTTGACATCATATCTTTTCCCTGATGCAAAGTTTTCATTTGAAAGATTAAAAAAGTTATCTGAAAAAATAGGAAAAGATAAAATTGTTATCGATTTAAGGTAAAATGATGATGATGATGATAATAATAATAATAATAATAATAATAATAACAACACTTTTATGTGGTTTTTTCTTTATGAAAATTAACTAATTAATTTATAATTATTAGTTGTAGAAAAGTTGATGATAAATGGTTTGTTGCAATGAATAAGTGGCAAACTATAACAGATATGGAGGTTAATAAAGGTTAATAAAAATTTTTATTTAAAAAATAGTATACTTATTTATTATTGTTTTGTTAACTTTTTCAAAAATTTATATATTTTTAGAATCTATAGATTTATTATCGAATTATTGCAGGTAAATACTATTAATTAATAATTGTTAATAATAATTACTATCATTATAAAAGAACTAAACCATTATTATATAAATATGTAAAAGTGAATTTTTAATACATTCAGCAGATGTTGAAGGATTATGCCAAGGAATTGATTCCAAATTAGTTGAATGTAAGTTAAAATGCATACAATATCTTGATTTTTTTTTTCTAATAAATAAATATTTTTAGGTTTAGGAGAATGGGTAAATACTCCAACAACTTATGCAGGTGGAGCAAATTGTAAGTTTTTTTTTTAAAATAATATAAATATAAATAAAATCAAGCAGATTTATTAAATTTATTCTTTTAGCAATCAAAGATCTTGCATTAGTTGATAGATTATCAAATGGTAAAGTTGATCTAACATTTGGAAGGTAAATAATTCCTAAATTTAATAATTTTTTTTTAAAAAAAATAAATATTAAAACTGTTAATAAAAAGTGCTTTAGATATATTTGGTGGAAATAAAGTTAAATTTCAAGAGTGTGTTTTATGGAATCAACAAGAATTAAAAGAATAGAATCCCAAGAAATATTTCTTTGATTATTAAAAAAATGATTTTCTAAAAATAACAAACAAAATTTAAAACTATATGTATACCCAAAATTTATTATTTTTATTAAGTTGATTTTTTATCACAATCATTATCATGTTAATAATTATTCTATTAAAGTTAATTCGCTTTTTCTATTTGTAGCATAAATATCTTTATATTCATTCCAAATATTATATAATCCTTCAATATATTTTTCTTGTACTTTAAGAATTTCTTCTTCACTAGGATTGTCATTCTGTGTAACTTCAATTGGATTGCCAACTATTATATATATATATTTATTTATTAACATCAATACTTAAAAATATAAATAAATAATAAATAAATAAAAACATACCAACTGTTACGATTGGCCTTCTATGTGGTAAGACTCCAATATCATCTAAAATAAATAAATTCTAATTAATCTAATCATTTCCATTCATTTGATTAATTCACTCAATTACTTACAATTAAAAACTCCTCTTCCATGAAACAAAGGCATTGTCCATCCAATATATTTCTGAATCAATTTTTGAAATTTCCAAACTTTACTCTCTTTAGGATTATCCGCCTGTTCCCAAATATCATTTTCGCCAAATGAAAAAACTGGCACCAAACATGCACCAGAACGAATTGACAACTTGATAAAACCTAATCTTCTTTTCAACACCAAATCATAAATACCTGGCCTTGCATTCAAACTTTCGCCCGCTCCACCAACAACTATCATAACCGAATGTCCTGGACCTTTTCTACATAAAATATTTTCACAGGATTGTCTTGAGACAGATGCAAGGCCTTGTGCCATCAAATAATCACGATAAAGTGGTATATTAAAATTGGACGCAAGTGTTAATAATCTACATTTTATACCAGGAAATTCTTTTGAAAAGTTATTGGCTTCCGTTGCAAAATTTGTCCATGCCCCAACTGATATTACTCCGTGTGGATGATATCCAAATAAATAATTTTTTTCTGGATCTAAATCAATTGTCTTTTATATACATACATAGATAGGTAGATATTATATTTATCATATTATCAATGTATACACTTATATATATATACACGCTATTTTACCTTTATTAATTTAATTGGATAATATTCAGAATACCATTTCCAAAATATTGCATTCCTTGCAAACTCAAATCTTCTTCCGCCATTTTCTGGTGCAATATCAAAAAGTACAAACAACGTATATGCAATAATCCATGGCCAAAAGAAAGGTATTGTACAACATAAAAAGAAAACAAAAAGTGTAACTGGTAAAGATATAAGCCAAAAGATAACTGCTGCCGTTTGTCTTCTCCTTGCAAATGGAACATTTAATGGCGAAAAACGTATTTTCGGTGTATCTGTCATTTTTTTTTTGATATTATTTTTTTAATGAAAGAAAGGTATTTTTATTGTATATATATATAGGGAACTCAAACAGGTTTTTCACCAAGTTCCCAATTGAATTTCAGATGATTTCCAAACATATCTGGTTTTATTTGATTTTCAAAAAGGTCAAAATTCAAATTTTGTATTACATATTACAGTATTACATATACTGTATTACATATAATTTTGAGTTATTCCACTCTTCTTACCTGTATATATAAATAACAAAAATGAGATCTAAATTCAAGGACGAACACCCCTTCGGTATATTAGACTTTTCTAAAGTTTCGAAAGAATAACTTTAAAAATATTTACTATTATTATTTTTTAAACACGAAATAGAAAAACGCAAAGCAGAAGCTGATAGAATTAGACAAAAATATCCCGATAGAATTCCAGTAAGTTAAAAAACAATGACTTTTATTCCAAACGTTCATTAATTATAAATTATAAATTTGTAACTTTTTATAAATATAATTTTTAACGAAAAACCAGGTTATTTGTGAAAAGGTTGAAAAATCTGATATTGCTACAATTGATAAAAAGAAATATTTAGTTCCTGCAGATTTAACAGTTGGGCAATTTGTTTATGTTATCCGTAAACGTATTAAATTGAGTCCTGAAAAGGCTATCTTTATATTCGTTGATGAAGTTCTTCCACCAACAGCAGCGTTAATGTCAAGTATTTACGAAGAACATAAAGATGACGATGGATTTTTATATATAACGTAAGCGATTTATTATATTATTTTTTAATTTATATATGTTTTTATATATTTACATAGATATTTTTTACCTTCCAAATTAGATATTCTGGAGAAAATACATTTGGGATTTTACAATGAATTAATTGAAAAATCTTTTTGATTATTTTTTTAAACGTAGCTAATAACATTTGCTTTATTTATATCATATATATATATTATTATTAATATACAAATATGTATATCATTATTTAACACAATAAATGCACCGATAATTACTTTTTTAAAAAAATTATCTGTTATTTGACTGATTTGTTCTTGACAAAGTTTCAACCATTTTTAAAGAGTACTTTTTGCAAATTTCATAAAATTTTTCAAAATTTTATGCATGACATTTATTTTTTTTCCTGCCAACGAAAGTTGATCAAATATATATATATATATATATTACATTTATTATTACTTTTCATATACATATAACCATATATATATATATATATATATATATATATATATATATATACATAATTTTATTGCTATATAGTTTGTTTCCAATTAAACTTACTAAAAATAATATTAATCTGCTACAAGTGTTACTTGGAATAACGATTGCTTGCCATTTAAATTAACCTATTAATATTAAAAGGAATAATGACAATGCCTTTATTTTGCTGGAATGTATAGTGAAAGCATGTTTGTGACGGTTCTAGCATAGTTAGACATTCACCTATTGCAGCCAACTAAATATATTTTTCTTTGCTTCAATATGCAGTGTTCCTTCACTCAATACGATTGTCCTTATCTCATATTAGATCTTTCTTTGAAGGTGCTTCTGATAAAAATTACTCAAGCTCGATCGATGTATAATAATGCAATTGCCTCCCAGATTGTCTTCAGGTGAAATGATATTGTTCAAAGAATTCTTGATTCCTTGATTCAACTGCTCCTTTATCCCAACTCAAGTAACCTTGAGTTTGTGCATTATAAAAGCGAGGATTGATTTGCTATTTAAATTGTTTATAATCTCCAAATCCTCAGCTGAAACTGTATTATTATTATTATTATTATTATTATTATTGTTATTATTATTATTATTATTATTATTATTATTATTATTATTATTATTATCATTATTATCATTATTATTATTATTATCATTATTATGATAACGTTATTATCAATCATTACTAGTGCTTGTGTTGAACTTCACCATTCAATTGATCAAAAATGTCTAACCAGGTCTGACTGTGCTGGTTTGAACGTTGCTGCTGTTGGTAGTGATTCAGTCTACTTCCCTTTATTTTAAAGAGTGTACTTCCTGGGTCTCGAAGTTTAATCTAGTTTTTAGATATGTAAATAATAATGCTTATTCCCTTGTAAAAATAAATTTATAAAAATATCCTAATCATCCTCTTATATAATAAAGAAGGTTAATCATGCCTTCACTGTCTGAAGGATATGTAGAGGAAATACCTTTTTACCATATATAAAAAAAATAATATAGATATTCAGAGTGGATGGTAGGGAGGCTGATTCATTGAAGCTGTATTGGGTTTTCTTCATTTTGATAAATATATTCCTACCATGTGGCAGATGACCTCTGGAATTAAACAGAAAGACGAGTTGATCGCTGACAATCAAGTTAGAAATTGATGACTTCATTTATTTTTTTTTTAATTGATTTTTATATATTACATTAAAATTTTTGTATATATACCTTTACTAATAATTTCTCTTATTATTATTATTATTTCTTAAATAGAACACGGAACCAAGATTTTTCCTGAGTGGTTCCCTACCCAAAGTCCAGTGGGGCCACATGCAAAACAAGATCTAACGCTGATTCTAGCTTCTTGGCTCAAAGATACAAATAAACAAGTAGAATTCGAGCAGGAGTGGGCAGATTATTGGTACAACTAGAGTTGTTAGTCGAAATGTATATTAATATGCTTTTATTTCCTGTGATCACTCTCTGAATTGCTTATAAATATAAAAATTTGGTTTTAATAAAAATTTTTATAAATGGGGTCCGAGACTATTATAATAATAAGTAAATATGGGACTGTCTCCAGCAAAAACCACTTCCGAGCTCTTTTGACCAAATTTCTTTTATACTATCTTGTGAGATGTAGATTATATAACTGGCGAAAACATCGAAACCAGTTTGCTTAATGAAAAAAAGAGGAATTGTAGGCCGGATACCTTTTTAAAGTAACTTTTTAAAAAAGGGCTTCACGCGATTTTGGTTAAAAAATTATTTTCCTTACTGCCAAATTTAAAAATGATGATCGGAACTAGTCTAAATTTAGAAATGATCCTAGTGCCCAAATTCCTCATGAGTATAGTAAAAGTACATGTTTTAAAAAAGAATAATTTTGAGAAAATCTTCCTATTACATTAAAACTAAAGGCAAAATTTAGGAGGTCTTTAGACCGAACCAACTATACTAAAACGAATTTTGGGTATAGCCTTGTATGATGTTAATGACTTGATTGGTTATGAAAATTTACTAGCCAGTCGATCACTATACGATTTCCCCCCTATTAAAGTAAATTTTCAGATAATTTCTTGTTTCCTAAATTTGGATAAAAAATTTTCGAGGTCAATTTTCCTTTTTTGTGTATATAATAAATTTTGAATGTTTACGCAAAATGAACTATTCACGCTTTTGCCATTATTATCATTGTTTTTCACCGAGAGTACTGCGCAAAGACTAACACTATATAATTTTAAAAGATCATAAGATTCCAGGCGAAACATCAACATTGACAGCAACATCGATTAGTTTGCGAAATTTGAGTGTTTTATGCATATTTGTTAGAGCTCGTAATTGATGGTTCTCTTACTTTTGTCAATAACATGATTTTTTTAAAGATTCTCTTCCAGAAATTAACGCACCTCCTAATACCTTTACCAAATTTTATGCATTGTCACGTCATTTATTATTGTTGTTATTATTATTATTATTATTATTTATTATTCCACCAAATTTGGAAAGAATTTTGTAAACAAATAAATATATTAATATAAAATTTAGATTACCTTGTTACATGTTTTCAAACATTTTTTTACTTTGAAAAAAAAATTTAAAAAAATTCAAAATAATGGAAATAATAAATGGAAAAAAATTAGGAGGATTCGATGATCTTTGTTATAGACTTGATAATGAAGCAGCACCATTTGTTATGACATTAATATGGACATTTGAAGAAGATAAGGTGAATATATCATCAGTGAAATCCGAATTTGAATCTTTGATAAAAAAATTTCCTCGTTATTCATGTGTAATAGCTGATGATAATTCTTTCACGCGTTATCGATGGAAATATATTCCAAATTTTAATGTGGATGACAATATTGAAGTACACGCATTATCGACCGGTACATTAAATGAATTTCAAGTGTATGCGTCAGAATGTGCATCATCAAAATTAGATAAAACTAAGTCACTTTGGAGGGCTTATATAGTTTATGGTTTAGATTATGAGGATGAAAGAGATGGAAATGTTAAGAAACAACGTTCAGCTTTAATTATAAAGACTCATCATTGTATCGCTGATGGGCAAGGCGCCATGCACACGATTTTATCATTAACATCAGATAGCCAACACCAGTTGGATGAAATTTTGAAAAAATTTAAAGATTCCATTAAAAAAAAATCCAAACCAGAAATTCCTGGGTATTCTAAAATTACTTTATTAATCATGTCAGTTTTAATTGGATTATTTGAATTAATTTATTCTCAAATACGTCACCTAAATCATATCCGTAACAAGAAAAATTTGATCTTTGAACATTATTCGGATGCAAAAAAAACATTATCTTGGTCGGAAGAAATTTCCATTGCTGATATTTCTATTGCACGCAAAGCTTACGGTGTTACTTTTAATGATGTTATGGTAATTTCTGATAATCAATCAATCATAATGAATGTTAATTATTTTATTCACGTGATAATTTTTTTTTTGTTGTAGGTTGCAACGATATCAAGATCAATTAGAAGTTATTTTCTTGAGTTGAACCATTCTCTTGAACCAGAATTACTTTTTTACATACCAGTTTCAATGCGTAATTTAACAGATTTTGATTGCAATAATAAATCAAGCGGTGAGAATTTTTTTATTTTTCAAAATTTTGAATATTTAAATATATATATGTGTATTAATAAACATTTTATTAATTAGGTTGTGTTTCATTTATACCATTTGAAGAAGAGCTTTCAACAAAATCGTTAATGAGCAAAGTCATGTCAGAAACGACAAGAATGAAAAAAAATTTTTTTTGTTCATTAATTTATTATTTAATAGAATACATTTTAATAGCAGGAATGATTCCTAAAAAAATTTTTAATGACTCTGCAAAAAGTTACCATTCCATTGTTACAAATGTACCCGTAAGTGTAAATTTATATAATCAATAATGATAATAATAACGATAACCATTATGATAATAATCATGTTATCATAATATATTCAGGGTCCAATGAAACCAATCATATTCACTGGTCAAAAAGTCGAAAGATTTATAGCAGTACCGCCACAACCTGGGCCTGGAGGTTTGGGTATCGGGATATTATCTTATGATGGTAAAGTCTCAATATCAATATTAAGTAATGAAATGCCAAAATATCCAAATATTTCAAAACGTATTTCGCAATTATTTATTAATGAATGGGAGAAAATATTACACGATGCTAAACTTGAACTTAAGAAAGAAAATAATAGCATAGATCCAAAAAAAAATGATTTGAACAGCATGAAAAAATATTGGTATTATTGGTTATCGTTATCAATTGGACTTTTATCTCTAATTCTTCTTTTTTATTGATAAACAATAGCAATTGCTTTGCATTTATTATATGCTCTTTCTCTAATATGTCTTTAGAAGAAAGTTATCCATTTGTTTTTATTCATATTACATTGTCACATTTCAACACATTAATTCACGTGCGTTAACATAATACTTCAAATCTCATGTTTATTGCATTTTTAAGGATGTAATTTTTGACAATAATCACATAAAACTTGGAGTTTTTGTTTTTTCATAATAAATATCGTAACTTCAAATGTATTTCGATAAATCTCCAATGCAAATTCATTGACTGAAAATTAATGCAAGAAAATGTCAACTTGTACCAAAAAGCAAGTAAAGAAATGCAAAAAAAAAACCAGCATTACTAAACAACAAGAAATTGGTGCAAGAAAAAATGATTAGTAGTTTAATTAAAGACAAGTTTAATGAATTGGAGCAAGAGTAGAGAGATTGTGACATAAAAAATGCGAATTTTAATTTTACCAAGTTTATTATTTTTAAGAAACGACAAAATCAAAAAAATTTTGTTAAACTGGATAGAATTAATAATTTCGGCTTCTATTTCATCAGCTTGCTTCTAAAAGGAATTGGTCCACTTTTTCTTTTATACATGATAAAAAGGGAAACAAATTAACACGTGAATATGTTTTAATTAACAATTATAATATGGATATTACAGTTGATGGTGGTGGTGGGGCGGGGTGATGATGATGATGACGATGATGAAACAGTTAGAATAGAAAGTGGTGAAGGCAGTGGAAGTGATAATTATATTTGAAAATGATATTTAGAAATTTATTTTAGATATGTATATTTTAATTTTTTTTTAAAAAATTTAAAAAAATGCATTGCATAAAACGTCACCTTTAAGCAAGAGAAAAAGAATGTCTTTTATTTAAATATTGGCTTATGTGCTTTATCAATTGGCAGTTTACTTGTATTAGATTGATAATAATAAAATTTGAGCAATTAGAACAATTTAAATGAGAATAAGGAGAATATTCTCAAGGCGAAAATGCTATTCAGGAACTTCAGAATAAAGTTAAAGAATTAAAAGAATTAGCAAAGCAAAAACCTAAATTAACTAAACAAGTGTTAATCGCCCAAGAGTCGACAAAAAGAAAGGCTAAAATGGTAGCCCAAGATCAAGCCAAATCCAACAAATTAAACCAGTGCAAATGATAGAAAAATATGCAAAATATGAATTGATCTTCTACGGATAGGTTCTCCGAAACGAGATTTGACTGGTCGCAGAATACTCGGCGATGGCTTCTTAATCTTGGTATTCAGGTGTCAATTTGTTTCTCTTTTTATCAGAAGCGAGCTGATAAAATAGTGCTGAAATTATCAATTTTACCAGGTTTAACAAAATGAGACCAAAATTCACTTTTTTTTTGAAAAAAAAAAAATCATGCGCATGTCATATGTCTACTTTTGGGGCAATCTTTTTTTAACGTCCATTTTATTGTTATAAATTCAAAGCGACTTTTTAATTCGCTCGTTACGTCATTGTCAAATTTATTTAGCTTGCACTAATTCCATATGTTAATGAATCAATGAATGATGGATTTATTCATGGAAAACATGAATCTTTGACGAGGGTCACGAACACACAAAGGATCATGTTGGATGTAAAATTGAATCTTTTATTCGAGCTAACGGATCACATATATGAATGAAAGAACAAATTAATTTATATAATGTATAAATATTTTGCTTCCCTATAAATAAAAAAATTAAAATGAAAATTAAATCTTTTAATACCCTTGTTATTCAATTACTTGGTGTAATAGTAATAGCGACAGAATTTAACCAAGTAGTTGATGTCCCAGCAAATTATAGCGATTGGGTTATTATTTCTCCAGGCAAGGTAAAGAATATAAGTAAAGTAAAATAATAATAATAATAAAAATAAAAGATAAAAAATAAACAAATTCTTTATCATCTTTTTTTTCCTACCTACAGAGTATCATATAACAACAGTAAATATGAGATGATGCCAATGCTTCCTATTATCAATATCAAGCTCATTCATTTTATTTTTTTTTTGGGAATGATTTTTAAAGAAATCCGACAAAGCATGCATGCACATGCACACAAAATGAAGGGGACCAAGTAGAGACTCAACCACTAAAATTTTGGATGGGACCATTATCCTACATGGAAAAGAAGCTCAGGTCAAATCATCAAGGGTTTATTTTCAATGCTGCCAAATTTTCTCACCTGAATGTGGCTTTTTTCAAAATAAGTTCCTCGAATTTTGTTTCTACATGATCTTAGCTAAGGATGTTAGCCGAAATGGTTTTTGAAAAAATCAATTTCGGCAATCAATTTCGGGATTTACAATATTCTTTATTATTATATCAATAGACAATAAAAAAACTAGTTGTTCAAATTCAGTGACGATTATTTATTAAGAGAGGCAATTTCGCCTTAGCATTATTACTTGGGCAATGCAATTATGAATAACAGCATCAAATTCATTGCATATTATAATATACATGATACAACAGTGAGGCGTACAAGTAATGCTTTATGACACTTAATCATCACGTAATGACAGCCAATCAATTATATGGATTCATAATTATAATCATAGGAGAATCATGTGATGATTAAGTGTCACTGGTTTCCGCCCAACATGTATAGTCTTGAATTAAGTCATTAATTAATTACATTTCACAGAGGGATGAGCCTATACGTTCTTCATTGTAAAGAAGAAAAAAAAATAAAACAAGAAAGACGATAAATGTATAAATTACTAAATTTTTGATCCCTTGTAATTTTTTTGTGAGATAATAATGTTCACTTTGTCTGGTTTTGTTGCAGTCCAATTGAAATTGTAGTCTCACGGTGGTACAATTGTGATTTTTGCGGTTATGTTCATATAATTTATTAATAAAAAATCAAAACTCAAAAAAAAAAAAAAGGGTTTGAAATGCAAATAAAATATTCCAACCTAATCCTACTAATAGTATTTTAATCTAATGAGGATATAAATATAATATAATATAATGTGTATAGTTATAACCAACCAACCAACCAACCAACCAACCCAACAAGCCAACCAAATCCTAAACATACATAAATAATTTATATATTTATTTTTAAGGATTGTTTTGGAATTGATCTAACAATTCTTTTAATTTATCATCTGCAACTTTATTGCATCTTTCTACCAACAATAACATGGTTTTAACGAACTCAACCATAATTAAATAGTCCGGATCTTCACCAAGAATATTACTGACTGTCCAACTTGCAATTGTCCCTGTAGCAAGACTTGGATTCTTAGAAAACATATTTCTGTGATCACTATTGTAAATCTAAATAAATTTTTTTTTAAAAGGGAAAATTTAGATTTTTTTTAAAAAAACCCTCATATTATTGTTCTCAAATAAGATAAATTCAATATACCTCGATAGTATAATACAATGATGTTCCAAAACCAGTTTTACCCTGTATTTTTTTAGAATTTTTTTGTGGATTAAGAGGTAATATTTCAACACGATTAACTTCAGCTATGAAAGGAAAATGTAATTTGTATTTGTTGACAGTGACATGTTTAACTTGTTTGACTTCCAAAAAATCGGGCACATTCTCATATGTAATCACGCGAGTTGTTGGACTAACTGATGCTTTTTTTATAAACGTATTAAATGGTTTGACATCATGTCGAAGTGATTTTCTTGTAGAAATACTCATATTAAAATCGGATTTACTAATAATAATAATAATGTTTATAAATAGATGTTCAAGTGTGCACATATATATATCATGTAGATGACAATGTAAATGCTTCCTTACCGATTCAAAACAGTCCATTCGACATCTACTACACGATTCCATTGCATCATAACTTTTTCTAATGAAACATAATTCATACTAATATACATGGTTACAGGGATATATTCATTATATGGCGAATTTCTAGCATCTGCATCAATTTCAAAATACTGACTCGTGTAGTATGCTTTATTGCCAAGTACTTCAGTAAATCCATTATAAAGGATTTCTTCATGAGTTGCACTATTTTTTAAAAAAATAAACTTTTATTGTAAGATTTTTCTAAGAAATATAAGAAATAAAAAAATAAATAAATCAAGGTTTAAAAATTGAATGACTTACATATCAGTAAAGTTTGTTCGAACACATTTTTCTTTAATAATATCTTTTAATTCATTAAATTCCCAAAGTCTCGATGAAACTTGTGGTGGAACGTTAGAAAATAAAACTTTCCCCAATCTTTGTTTAATTAATTACATATTATTATTTTGAATTAAATAAAAATAATTTCAATTAATTGATTAATTAATTAATTAATTCAAATCATACCTTCCCGAAAACCGAATTTCACCTTTAAATGCCCGAACGTGCTCTATTCTAAAATATGATAAAATTTATTTAGAGACCAAAATTTTTCTATAAATAATCCAAATATTTAAATTAGTGCATACCCTTCAACTAATGCTTCTTTCATTCGAGCAAAATTATAATCTCTAACCCTATTGTCATCATAAAAAATCGTTTTTTTGTATTATTAATAAATTTACTAATACACAAATATACATAGATAAGTATATATAAAGGATTGTACATTTTTCCAGGTGTGATATTTGATGGATTTGAAGAATAAGTTTGTTCAGGACTTTTTTGCAAAACAATTTTTTTAGTCTTAAAATCCATATCTTCTTTATATGGTTTTTCATCAAAAGTATCAGTACGTCTTCTAGATTCTTTTGAAATTTGAAAGTTGGTGTTTTGAGTTTTAGTATTCCATGGAATTGTTCCAACAGAACTGGTTTGAGCATAGGAAGAGACAGAGGAGGAAGAAGTGGAAGGTTGACTTGTGGTATTTGCTTCAGTATATTGAGATCGTTGCTTTCTCAATTCAGATATAGATGGTTTATTATTATTATTGACATTGTTCATACCTCTTCTAGTAGTGGTGTCGATAAATTGACTTTTTGATGATGTGTTTGGTAAATCAGGAAATTGTGACCGAGAACTTTGTTCAAATCCATCATCCCAATGAGACTCTGGTGGTAATGGAATTTGTGGCCAATTATAAATTTCATTATTTAATGACAATGGTGGTGATTGATGATCATTACTATTTATAACTTTATTTTTTCCTTTAAGAGATGCTGACATTGATACTGGTAATGTTGTCATTGTTGGAGTTGATGTTGTAGATGTTGGAAAAAAATATGGCGATGATTGATTTGAATTATCATTATTTAATGGAACAGCTGGTTTATTTATTTGTTCTGTGTTTTTTTTGATTCCATTATTTACATTTATAGAGTCAATTTCTTGTGGACGGATTATTTTATATTTGCCAGTTTCAGGGTCCAGGATAGCAGGTATAAGCAAATATACGTTTTGACCTATGTGTGATTTAACCATCATTTTAAAATATCCATGAGTTTTCAACGGAATAAAATATAATTTGAAATGGACATCTTGTTGCGGATAATGTACAAGTGGAACTCTTTTTGGTCTGAACTCAGGCCGAAGCTAGTATATATGTGAACATATATTTAAATACTATTGTTGAAATTTAAAAACTATGAATGTAGGAAAAGTTAAAAAATAATTACATAGATTTGTTCCAATGTCTTGAGTCTTTGAATAGCCTTTTCAATATCTTGACTTTTCCTACCTGTAACATGAATTTTCTATTCATAAATAGAAATCAATGTATATTTATATTAATTTTAAAAAAAAACAAAGAATATATTTGAATATAAATACATTTAATAAAAATAAATAAATTACAAACCCTACGATCAAGAATCACATCCCCAGTCACATTACAGTCTTTACAGATATCCTTCCAATAATCACAAGGAATGTTAACCTCGCGATGATGCCAACTTAGAACCTTTGAAGGATCATCAACCGCATTCGAGAAATAGAAATAGTCTTCCAAACTTTCTACATCTTCTACCTCCTTCTCCACAAATTTTTTTTTGTCAATTAATGAAGGATCTTGATATGGAAGTGGAAGTGGTGGTGGAAGACCGACAACTAATTTATCTTCATCAAATTTGACAACTTTTTTTTCTCGTGGAGGAATTGTAAGAACTGTTTTGGCCTGCGATGACTTCATAAGAAGAAGAATAGTAGTAAGAAGAAGAGGAGAGGGGAATAATTGCACTTAAATATTGGTTTAAATGGATATTATAGATTACTTTGGTCAATAATATTTTAGAAAAATCTTCACGTCTATAGGAATGATTATAATTCATATATAAATAAATATAGAGTCGTTTAATCATTTATTGGACACAAAATGATACAATAAAACTTACGCCCCGTCTATTGATACATGATCGGTTCCATTTATTTCAAAAGTCTTTTTGTCATTCAACAGAAATTTATTAGCAAGGAATTAATTTAAAGCGAACAAATTGAAAAATGATAAAAAAAATATTATGAGTATAAGGGTGATATTGGAAAATTACATCTTTCTCAGAAATATATCGAATTTGGACTTCATGTTCGTCCTCAACGGTTCTATATAATGAATAAATGTGTTTAATCAGTTTTAAACAAAAAATAATAAATATAATTAATGATTATTACTTTGACGATGTTAGGATTTCTTCAATTTGATCCTCAGTCCATTTCCAAACAGTATGAAGAGTGTATAAAACTTCATTTATTTTTTCCAATTAAAAGGTGTCAATAAATCTGAGAAATAAGATTTATCGAAATATTTTACTTTTTTATTTTTACCTTGATCAGGCATGATATCAACAAAAAAAAAAAAAGAGTTAAATTCTAATTATGTTACACGCTATTTGAAATATATAAAAAAAAAATTCATTGTCACCCGGTTAGGAAATTACTATTATGTAAAAAAAACAATTTTTGGTTAGAGGGCCCCGATATTATATTGGAATATGAGATAATGCCGAACAATAATACTAAAAAATAAAAAAATATAAAAGACTATGGCAAGCCAAACAATTCAAAAGTCATTTTGATTTATGATGTGCATTGTTTTAATTTATGGTGTGCACCATTTTTATTTATGGTGTGTATTGTTTTAATTTAATGGTGTGCATCATTTTTATTTATGATGTGCACCATTTTAATTTATGATGTGCATTGTTTTAATTTATGATGTGCACCATAAGTTAAACGATGCACACCATAAATTAAAACAATGCACATCATAAATCAAAATGACTTTTGAATTGTTTGGCTTGCCATATTAAAGTCCTTATAAAAAAACAGTGTTGAAAATTCAATCGGTGCGTGTCACGTTACACCAAATTTACATGTTTATTTATTTATTATTAAATTGTTATATACCAAAATTTTTTTTGCCAATTAATAATTAACTAACTAATTTCTTTCAAATATTTTAAAATGTCAAATATTCCAATGGTCATTGATTTGTCTGATGATGAAGAGCTTAAAAGATTACACATTAGAAAAGCTGTTAATCCTAAGTGGTTTGATGATTATCCATGATTGGAAACTGAATCTGTTAATGGAAATATAATTTTATATTGTAGAATTTGTAGAAATTGCAACAGAACAACAGCATTTGCAAAAGGTACATCTTCATTAAGGGTAGGAAGAATTAAAGAACACATGAAAACCAATGAACATAAAAAATCTGAAGAAACACCTAAACAAGATACTTCAAGAATTAGTACAGAAAAATTAAAAATTAATTCTTTAATGAGAATTATTTACTGCTGCTCAAAAAATAATATTCCTTTAAACACCTATCCTGATTTGTGCAAATTAACATCTCTACAAATTGAAAATAATAAAGAATTAATAGTTAGTGATAAAGTCTCTACCTTGAAACCTGCTTCATTAGGAAAACCATCACCATCTAAATCAAAATATGGAAGCTATGATAATCATACATCTGGTGTTGATTTTTTAGATAGTATTGCTTATACAATAAAAAAATCTCTTTTTGAAGAATTAAATTCCTCAATTTATTGAAGCATAATGATTGATGAAACCAACAGTGTTGATGATGACAAATATTTAGCAATAGTAGAAAAATATATCGTCAATAATATACCATATATGAGGTATTTAGGTATGGTTAACCTAGACTTGACTGATGGTGAAAATATATTTAACCAAATTATAACATTTTGTAATTCAAAAGAAATATCTTATGATAAAATTATTCATTTTGGAAGTGATGGTGCTTCTAATATAATTGGTATGAATTAATATTTAATTAAGTAAAAGTTTAGTATTTTTGTTAATCTTAACTGAGAAATAGATTATTATTAGGATACATAAGTGGTGTTGCAGCAAGATTTAAAAAATCAATCCATTTATGACTTCAAACCATTGTATATCACAGAAGCTCCATCTAGCTGGAAAAGATGCTTCAAAAGATGTTATATATTATGAGAAATATGAAAAACTTGTATAGTTATTTTTCAAAATCTCATAAAAGACAACAAATGTTGAAGTTGATGCAGGTAATTATATTTATATTTTTTAATCTGTTTTTTCATTTATTTTTATTAACAATTTTCATTGTAATTAGGAAATTAATGAAGAGTCATCACTTGTAGTATTAAATATATGTGATACTAGGTGGTTGTCATTTTCAAATTCTGTGAGTAATTCACATAAAATCATGAAATCTGTATTGTCTACTGTGAGATCAAAATCCGCGTCTCACACAAATCTCTTGGATTTGGTTAAAATAATATTTATTCCGTTTTCCAGCAGTATCCAATTATTTAATTCTTTGATTACTTTCTTCGCTATAGCGCTCAAGCTATTTAATTATTTACAGGGCAAGTTTCCTTACTTCCCTTCCGGTAACGTTTTCTCAGCAGTTCTTTGTTATCTGCCTGAGCCGGCACATCTCAATGATATTTATAATATCTGAAGTATCCGCCGTGATACTTTCTACACTGATTATTATATTTATGGTTCAGTCTCTTCACTGACCTCACCTAGCTAGGATTTCCACTATTTAGGCGTTGGCCTAATCTAAATGAAAATAAAATTAAAAGAAAATACACACACAACTATACTTATCAAAGGTGTCCCCCTGGTAAGATAGTAATTAATTAATAATTGAGTTAGAGCAAAAAGTTTAGATGGTGTTTGGAAGCGGGTGGATAATTCCACTGGCAAAAGATTATTTTTAAGAGGTATTTTATGTTCGTATTTTATTATTAAGATGTTATTGTTATTACAAGATAATAGTTATATTTCTAACTGATTATTACATGAAAGCGAAATTTACAATGTATTTATACATGTCAAAGGTTCTATCATCTAGTTATCCGACTTCGTTGAAATCCTAATTTATACTAATTAATATATTATTTAAACCTTCCGTGTAGAATTATGTTCAAGTAATTTATAGTCAACATGAGTCATGTAAAATTCTTTCATTTAAATATTATTCTGAGACTTTGTAATCCATTACACTTAGAATGTTGGAATATTTATATTTTCAGCATGTTACAAATTCCGTAACAATTCTGTATTTCACACTAAATTTGAAAAGGGGTAATTTTTCAAAACCGTGTAAGAAATACGTTAATTTCGTATATTAATATATATTTTTAAAAACGTATTCAACATACATTAATTCCGTATTTTATTTTTCATAGGGATGAGGGTATTCAATGAAAAAATAAAAAACAATAATTCATTTATTTATTACATGGACATGGATGGTATTCTTCAACTAAATGAGACAGAAAAGATGATTCAAATTTGCATATCCAATATTATAATTATTATTATATTCAAAAAATTTATATTACGAAAAAGAAAAATTGTAATTTATTATAGAGGATGAACAGCCTTTTTATATAACAACAAGATATTCAGGAAATAGATTTTGTTAAAAGTCATTATTTTAGTGTGCAAATTCAACATTCAAATTTCAAATGAAAAAAATTCCAAATTGTGAAAAGTTACCTTTGTATTATATCGTTATTCAAGATATTTAAAAATAATAGAATTTAACTTATTCAGATAATTCATCTGGTATAGTTAATTCAATCTGTTTAGAATCTACAAAATATTTATCACAAAGAGTGGGATATTGTTAATTTTAAAATTTAAATTAATAAAAATAATGATTGAATGTTAATAATTACCATCATTATTACCAATAATTGTTACTTTATTGGAATTCACAGGTTGGGGAAGGTTTGTAAAATTTAATAATCTACTAGTATAAACTGCATTTGGATGAAATACTGCAGTAATTGTTGAAGGATCAAATTCTATTTCATCCATCTTATCAAACTCTTTTTCAATTGATTCATCATTACGCCAAAAATTAATAATCTTAGAAATTTCTTCAGCAGTTGGACGTTTATCTGGGTTAGCATCCATGCATTTGAATGCTAGTTCAATATAGAATTTTGGTGTGTTGTTTGAGAATCCAGGTCTTGCACCTTT